ATATATGTGTACTTATATATGTACAAGAGTGGATATATGTATGGGAGTTATGGTGGGAGAAGAACGGAGTTTGAAGCTCTCTGGAAAAACTATGTAACGACACTTCTCATCGAGAGCTTAGATTGCTAAGATCACGTCATTGTAAACCTCAATTTTATATTTTGAAGCTTTTAATATTTTGTCAACTCGAATAATAAATTGAAACCAACTAAATAATTTTTATCAAAATTAAATTACGTCTAAATAGAATTCTTTTATTTAAAATTATTCCTTTCCCGCACTGAAACCGAGTATTTTAATACTCCCGGGCGAAAGAACTACAGTAAGTAAAGTTTTAAATAAATAAAAATAACATCCACTAGATGGAAGCATAACACAACTAATAATATGTTTATTTGATTTCGATTCCAAAAGTATAAATTGAAAAATGAACATTACTATAAATGAAAATTTATAAATTTACTAGTTAAAAAAAAATATCATTTGAATAAATGATTAATAATACAAGTGTATAAAAAAATAAATGATACATTCACTTAATGAACTTATGTATTTAAAAAGATAGATCCGGATGTAAAAAAACTATTATAATTATTTGAACAAAAGAAATTGCGGATAAATAATCGTAATGAATAAATGTAGAAATGATTTTATGAATAAACGACATTATGATCATTAGTATTTTTAAGGTTGTGTATAAATAAACATTTGTAAACATGATGATCGGTACAAATGAAAGTTGTCCGAATGGATATTTGAATAAATGAAATTCTATCCAAATAAATGAATAAAAATGAACATCTGCATTAAAGTTAATCAGTAAAAATGAATATTTGTCCAGAAGTTAAACTGTCAAAATGAATATCGGTTAAAAAAAAGATTTCCACGAAATCTCTTATAATTTTGTAAGCATGTTTTAATCTATTAAGAACGAACTTTATAACATTTCACCTTCAAAGGGCTGTACATGGATTGGGTATGGGATTAGCGGGAAGTTGCAGGGATGGCCTTTAGGGTCAACCGTTTTCCTAATTTTTTTAAATATTTAACGCTCTCGCACTGTCCTTAGTGAGTAAAATTTCTACTCATAAAATCCGTTTTAAACCTATAAAAGTTATACATTAAAAGTTTTAAGTTTTCTTAATTTTTAACATCCACGTACAGCCCTCTGAGGGTGAAATGTTATAAAATTCGTTCTTAATAGGTTGCAACATGCTTATAAAATTATAAGAATATATAAATTTCGTGGAAATCTTCTTTTTAACGGATATTCATTTTGACAGTTTAACTTCTAGACAAATATTCATTTTGACTGTTTAATTTCTGGACAAATATTCATTTTTACTGATTAACTTTAATGCAGATGTTCATTTTTATTGATTTATTTGGATAGAATTTCATTTATTCAAATATCCATTCGGACAACTTTCATTTGTACCGATCATCATGTTTATAAATGTTTATTTATACACAACCTTAAAAATACTAATGATCATAATGTCGTTTATTCATAAAATCATTTCTACATTTATTCATTACGATTATTTATCCGCAATTTCTTTTATTCAAATAATTATAATAGTTTTTTTACATCCGGATCTATCTTTTTTTAAATACATAAGTTCATTAAGTGAATGTATCATTTATTTTTTTATACACTTGTATTATTAATCATTTATTTAAATGATATTTTTTATTAACTAGTCAATTTATAAATTTTCATTTATAGTAATGTTCATTTTTCCATTTATACTTTTGGAATTGAAATCAAATAAGCATATTATTAGTTGTACGTATTTTTAAAAATAGGGAATTTTATTTGTTCAGTTGGTCATATGAACAACTGTAAAATTGAACAGATGATCTAGTTTACATAGAATCATTTGTATTTATATACAATTATACGTAAATTTTTCTGTGCTTTTTCATTTATATTCATCAGCATTTTTACAAACTTTCATATTTATTTGGACAAATTTTCATAAATCCAAACTTTCATCGATACCAAAGCAACACGAGTAGGCATAAATTATTGTCTCTTACTAGTATACGTTGCGCGCGCAAGCGCGCGTGTGAATGTTGGTATGGAATTATCTATATTTTCATGCTTATGATATATTTGACCAATCACGTTACGAATAGTTTGCTCTTACATGATATATTTTCATATTTTTCATCTAAATTATAAGAGTGGATTGGGAAATCAGCCGGGGGCGTGGCTTCTCCTTGCGGCAGAAGCAGTTACTACTGTAAAACGCATTTTTAAATAAACTGCCGTGTTCTCATATTCAATCGTGTATTTACACGTTGTATTAAATCGAATTTTTAATAGAAATTTAATAAATAATGAAAATTTTAATTCGAGAAATTTGTGAATTTGCATGATACTGAAATCAGTAGACAACCTGTCAAATTTTTATTTTATTAAAGAAATAAATTAAGACAAAAAATTTAGAAAAGTTTCACTCTTAGTTTTTTAAAATTTCTATATGTGAATTTTTTCTATTATTTTTTTTTTTTGTAAAAATCTGCTTGTTTAAAAAATCAAAAAAATTGTCAGATATCTGTTACTTTCAGCATCATGAATTTGCAAGTACTCAGCCCAGTAATAAAAATTTTTAATTATTTAAGAATTATTCATGCGACTTATTCTTATTACTGTAGTTATAAAATTGCAACTATAATTACAATTCTTTATTTTACAAAAACATTTATTTAGTTACTTAAGTAATTTAAATCTGTCGTATTACATTGTATTTCAAAAATTCACAGCTTATAATTATTGTTTTTTTTTTTGTGATTACAAAAATATTTATGTTAATTGGTATAAAGTCATTTTTGGTGAAATGTAATGAACACACTCTCTTGGACTGTGTAACTTTATTTCAGATTTTTAATGCTTTTATCCAAGCTAATCGACGGTCTATAACTTCATCTTTAACAAACTTATTTTTTATCACCACAGAACTAGAATTGGTCGGAGGAAAAGTGTAAAATCTAACTTCTTACTGGACTTGCTAATGACATTAAAGTTAACCGACGTTCAAAAATTTTAGATTTTTTTTATTAATTAAATTAGAACAAAAAAAATATTTTTACAAAATTGCACGTATAATTTTTAAAATTTTTTACATGTGAAATTTTTTCAATAAAAGAAATTCTAAAAATTTTTAGATGACTTGCAATTAATACACCCATACACGCAGCAGAAAGTTTGATTTTTATTTTCTCGTGGAGGAAACTACATGATTAAAAATTTTTGATCGTTAAAATTGATGTTATTTTAAATAATAACTAAGTTTATGGACTATAATTAATTAATCAATATTTTAAAAAAGAATTTCGACGAATTTCAACTGCAGTTTCGGCATATTATATGACATTAGCTGTTTATACTCGACCTGCATAGAGTAGTTCGCATTTGATCCGTCAGGTAGCGTATTTAAGTGGATGATTTCCCAATTGTACGTGGAATCATACGATTGGGTGAGCGCTTGCGTAGAAGTGGTTACCGTTGAGGGGGAAAGTCTCTTTGGATCTTGTCGTTCCGACGTCTCTGTGGTTCATTGTGAAGTCGTCGTTCAGTTCAGACGGTCGTATGAACTGGATTGTGAGATAAATCCAAAGTGTTTTATTCAAACGTTTTTACAAAATAGTCATTGATATTTTGTAATTTTCTAGAAATTGTGAAAAAAGTGATCATAATTAATAAAAAATTAATTATAATATTCTACACTGTAGTTAATAAATCGGTATTTTGAGGTTAGTAAATCTATTGCACTTGTAAGTCAGAAGATATAATGTCAAAAAAAAAAAATGTCGAATTTTTTCCGAGTTTTTAAATGGTATTTAATCTATGATACTGGAATAAACGGAAGTTAATAACTCGATTTTTGTTTTTTATTTAATTTTTATAACCAATTAATTATAAAGAAATATATTTTCAAAAATTTGCACTTATAATTTTTTAAAGTCTTTACACGTAGAATTTTTAGGGTATATTTTAATAGTTATAAAAATAAAAAAAATTGTTAGATGTCTGTTAAATTCAGTACTTTATCTAATTTACGTATTTTTTTTTTTTTTTTTAGTTTTCTAAACAATATCATCAAAAATGCCCAGAAAGCTTACCAACAACCGTTTTGGTAAACGAGCCAACCATTTTTTCAGTAAGTTTTTAATTATTTATTTTTTTTCTTTTTTTTTTTACGAGAAAAAATTTTCACTAAGTCACAGGACGTCTTTAAGCATTTTTTTTTCTTTCAGACCATGACAATAGAAGAGCTCGCGTGGATGACGACCACCCGATGAATTTCGGCGGTGTCAAACACAGGTTATCATTCAAAAACTCACGATTTGGAAAAGATCGTGTGCGTCACGTGAATTCAGTAACCAAAGCTGAACCAGAAGATCCTATGTTCTCGAGGTTGAGTGTTCGAAAAGGCATGTTCAAAGGCAAATGTTCACGGCTCAATTCCATGGAGAATCAACACCCAAGATTGAGTATTGAAAATAAAGTCAACTTTAAACGCGATCCACAGTGGTTTAAAATAATGGTTCGAATTGATTTTTTTAATGATTTTATTTATTTTATACTTCCAAATAGTTTGATGATAATTGATTATTTTGTTTCAGATTAATTATGGTGATAAATATGAAAAAGACTGTATTTTGAGTAGTCTTCTCAGCTCCATGGTTCCTCATACATTTATACCAATAATGGTAAATAATCAATATTTTTAATATTCTTTATTTATTTTAATAATGTGACATTATTTATAATAACCAGAAAAAAAATTATTTTTGTTTTCAGTACCAAGTTATTGGACATGAAGCTATTTTTTACGTCGATAGTAAAGAAACTGCTGATAAACTGGCTGAATGTAATAAAAAAATTACTATGTCTGATAATTATAAGCTCCAAGTACGAGTTCATCCTGGCTTTCCAAAATGTGAAGCTGATTCTGTGCCGAAGGAAAAATTGCAAGCAGCTATGGCTAAACGATACAATCAACAAAATAATTCTCTAGACCTGTCGTGCTTTTACCACGATCCTGATCTTGTTGAAGACTATTTTTGCGCTTTATTTAGGCCTAGAATGCTGATGACAGTGCTGGAGATCGTCGCCGATGCAATTCCTAACCTAGAGGCATTGAATCTTGGACATAATAAATTATTCAACATTGAAAAACTTAGTTTTTTGGAAAAGAAACTCAAGCACTTGAAAATCTTATACATTGGTGACAACAAAGTAAGTTATTTTTATTAACTCAGTCATTGATGTCTTTAACATTCTCCGTCGCAATCCGACTTTATTTTGATAATTAGAGTTTATTAATTGTTTCTTCTTATTTTTTTTTTTTAGATCAGAAAAATGAACCAGATGGATGCTGTCAAAGATTTACCACTCGAAGAATTACGTCTTGCCGGCAACCCACTCGTACAACACAAATACAAAGAACGTACGGATGACTATATCAGGTATTTTATTCGTTTTCTTATACACTATGTTATAGATTCAAGATGGATCTTTTTACAGGAGATTGGTTAACCTTTTTTTATATTTTTATTTAATACTGAAGTTATGTAAAAATCCTTGAGGTAAAAAAAAAGTTTGACCAATCTCATTCAATAATAAGATATATTATTTTTGTTTTAATGCAATTAATCTGGAGCATCTGGTTTTTTCTTCTTCCATGACAGTGACGTACGGCAAAAGTTTCCCAAACTTCTTCGACTGGTGAGTAATATATTTACATAAAAAATTAATTATTTTATAAAATATGTTAACGCCAATATTCTTAAAATTATTTTTTTTTTCATGAATAATTACAGGATGGCATGGAATTACCAAAACAAATAGTATTTGACATCGCCGAAGAAGATATCCAACTACCGCTCACTCAAAGAGCATTTGCAAAAAATGCTGAAATCCTGAAAGTAGCAGAACAGTTTGTGCTTCAATACTTAACCATCTTCGACAGTGATTCCCGGCAACCTTTGCTTGATGCTTATCACGAGCATGCATTTTTTAGTCTGACTGTTGCTCAGAGCCCAACGATACAAAAGTAAGTCATTAAGTTTTTTCCTTTTTTTCACTTTGTAAAATTAATATCTCTATCCTATATACTAAAATTGATGGTAGAATGAAGTTAGCTTAGTATCGAAAACATGGACCCTGATTCCTTATTGGTTGAGATTTAGATTGAAGTTAGCTTAGTATCGAAGTAACGTTCAGAATTAGAGCGCGCGCAATTTAAATTCCTAGTCATACTCATAATTATTTTTATTTTTTTTTTGTTACAGATTCAAGAAATATTTATCTGACAACAGAAATTTATTCCGTTGTGCTGATTCAAACCGCCGAATGAAATTGTTGAAACAAGGAAGACAACCCGTACTATCATTCATCTCAGAATTGCCAAAGACTCAACACTATTTGAATTCATTCACCATGGACACTACATCAGTATCAGCATCGACGATAATCATTACCATGACTGGATTATTCAAAGAAGTAGAAGCTGAGGATCATCAGATCTGTTACTTTGATCGCACGTTTGTTATCGTGAAATTCGGTAACGGTTACTGTATCAAAAATGAGCAGTTAAACTTGGCTCGCCCGACTCCATCTCAAGAACGCCTTTTTATTAATGGCCCGCAGACTACGATAGCCAATCAAGCAGCAGCAATTCAAGCCCAACAAGAAACGCAACAATCTCAACCTCAACTTTCAACTTCAGAAGTGCCTACACAACCCACCGAGGAGCTTCAGCGTCAAATGACTGTTGCTCTGAGTGGCCAAACTAAGATGAACCTAGAGTGGAGTTTCAAGTGCTTACAAGAGGTACAGTGGAACTTTGAAACAGCTATTTGCGCATTTAATCAATTTTTCCAGGCTGGGAAAATCCCAGCTGAGGCATTTTCTCGATAATTACTTTAAATATTTAAAAATTTAGAGTTTTAGATCGGGGAAAATCTATGGCACGAATTCGGTTAAAAATTGTTTTTAATATGTAAGAATTACATATTTTATTGATTTAGTAATTATTAACCATTATTAATAATATATTCGATAGTCCATTATTATTTTTCAAGGAATGATTCCTTACTTTTAAAACCGAATTCGTGACACAAATTAATTAAGTCAAATAAAAATTGTCGCAATAATTAGGATAATAATTTTCTATTCATAAATTATTTACGTAACTATAAATTATCATTGACGAAATCATATTCACTTTTAATTCAAAAGATATCACATACGTAAACAAAAAAAATATTCTATAATTTAGATAGTAATTTTTGCTACATATGTGATTTAGAAGAAAAAAATTCTTTGTGTACGTTCGAAAAGTATCATTTTATTATTTTTTTTTATGATAACTACGGTAATTAACATCGAATAATTACGAGTTAAAATGTATTTTTCTAACACACACATATTAGTTATGTCACTCAATATTATTGTGTTTTTTTTTTAATTTTTAAAATTCTCAATGAGGATAAATTATCAAATATGAGCAATGATTGTTTTTTTTTTTTCATTAAATCTAAAATTATTTTTTTTAACGTGATTTTTATTTTCTGTAAATTTGATTTGGATTATTATTATCATGGTTCGATAAAAATTAACTCGTTTAAATTGATAGAACGAAAATTAGATTAATATTGAATAATGTAAATATTCTTATGAGAAATAATTGAAACTAGATGTAGTTATTCAAACATAAAATTGACATTGAATTTAAAAGAACAAAAAAAGATGGTAAAAAAAGAAATTATTGTAAGAACAAAATTCAAATGCACGATTAGAGTAGACTGCAAAAAAAAAACAATATCATTGTGAAAGTTTTTTGAAACATGCCTTCAAAGTCAACTGATAATATACTCTGAATGAAATAACAGAGTGCCGCCGATGCAGTGTCAAGACCTTTCTGGTCTTCGGTTTGCTCAAGTTAATCTTGTGTGAAGTATGAAGGGAAGCTTGATGTCAAATATTTTGTTAGAGTTCCTAGAAATTAATTTCTAGAGTAAATTACGGTTTATTTAATTCTCTAATAAATATTTTTTTTGATAAAACACAAAGATACAATTTCGGTACAATCTATCAATCACAAAACTGTTGAAATAGTTTTCACGAGGTGTGATGTTGTGCCAAAGCTCCAGGTCGGTCTAACTCACGATTGTGCAGCTACAATTTTGTTAATAATCCCAAGTAATCCAATTTTTCATTACGTTAAAGAATATTAAAAGTTCAAGATTAAATTATTTTTGGACAAGATCATCTAGAATTATTATTATTATTATTATTATCTTCAAAGAATATTTACATACAATATTTATAAAAATCTATTTTTTCAAATGAATTATGAGTTACAAAGATGAAATTAATTGTAAATTATTTTAATTGTATAAAATTATAGAACGCGTCTGTATATTTAATTTTGTTAAAATTTTAATACTTTCTTAGTTGATAATTTTGATTATAAGTTTGATTTTTATGTGCAATGAAGAAACTTGAATGTGTAAAAAAAATATATGTATATAAGTATTGAATGTGAACGGATGCATGCATTGTAAAAAGAACTTAAAATAATAAGTTTTTGTATATAAATATAGTTTAAGCTAGGTTAGTTATAAATTAAGTATATTAGAGTATAAATTCATATTCAATGTACATTATTAATTGAAAAAAATATCAACATCATATTATATACGTATATATTTTGTGACAAATTTATTGTAAAATGTAGAATAATATACGTTTGTTTAACGACACAGCTATGATTATGACAATTTATTTTTTAAAATATGAATAAATTCAAAATATATTTTAATAAATTTGCTTTTTGATTAATATAATTACCTTGATTCATAATTCATACGTTCAATCAAATACACTAAGACATGACGACTTGAGGATGTCTACGTACTCACAGTCCACTTAAGTTTAAAATTCAAGTTTTATTACAAATAATATATTTCATTTTATAGTATCAACTTTAATGATAAATAGATTGATCGAAAAAAACTCTTCGCTCTTTTAGTTATAAGAATTTTATTTTCCGTAAGTAAAAAGGTGACGAGATATATTAAAAGTTGATCTGTGGTATCAATCATCAGGTATTACATTTTTTATTAAGTAACATCATTTGTTTTCGCAACATATTCGTATTACTTACCAATATCATTTTGTCGTAATAACTAACAAATCGCTGCGTATTCCTGTCTTTTGTTACGACAGCAAAATTATTTTTTCTGTGTGATGTCTATGTCACACACCTAGAAGTCTTCTTAGTTTATAATATTTTTAAATTAATATAAGTAGTCTGCGAAATAAAATTTGGATATAGTAAATCAGATATTCTTTACAAAGTATACAATAATTATTTTTTATTTCATATTTTTAGTTGTTTTATTTACACAATAATACAAGTTTTTATTATAAATACCAAATAAAGTGTCTATCGCTAGTTAGTACATAGAGAAATATTATTTAAAAAATAATAACAATTGAAGTATTATTCATCAGAGATTATTATAGCACCAAAAGTAAAATTTCAGTACAAATTCTGATATATTGTTTGCATTAGTCGAAGGTCTTAGAACCTTTAAAAATTGTATACTTTTTGAGCACTAAAAAATTAACTTGATTTAAAAAGAACTTGTCGGTTTCTGAAGAATCTAAAAAAAAAAATGTTTTTTTTTGGTCTGAAAAATCTATTTCTTGAAATGTATATTTTTGATTTACGATATTTGTTCTTTGAAAAATGAATATTTAGTTTCAATTCAGTTATTCAGTCAAAATAATGTATTTTCATTTAATACAATTAAATTCTTCATCTATAATCTCAGACAGTTGACGTCACTTTTACTTTATCAGGATAGTTACCTGTTACTATAATTTATCGAATTAAATTTTTTTTGTAATATTAAAGCCGGAAGTTGGATTTGAAAATAAAAAAAAAAAAAACACCTAAAATTGTCAACAACAATGAATTTGTCACTATGATTTTTAAAAAATTTTTACTAGTGGATAATTATAGATGTAAAAGAAATTTAAATATGCTAAAGTGTCTTCAATCAACATGTGGGAGTAAAGAGGGAAAATAGAGAGAAAGAATTCACTTTTTGATAAGTGTGGAAAAAAAAGTCGTCGGATTTGTAGAGTGAGAGAAAAAATAAAAATGGACATTTTTGTGACAAGAAATTAATTTGTTGAAAAATTTCTTCTTAGCTGAAGAAATCGAAATTATTCTCACAATAACTTTCTTGTTGTAAAAAAGTTTTTTAGATTTGAGAAAAATACAATTTTGGATGAAAATTCTCGAGTTGTCCATCTAACATTGTTTTTTTGTAAATCTAGAAATTTTGTTGGTAATTATTTACAAGTGGGGTCAACCCATGCTAGGCCATGTTAATTTTCTTTTTTTTTTTTGATCAAATTGAAAAAATAAGATACAATAGAAATTTTGTCCAAAAACATGAATGCCAAAATTTTTTCCAACTTTTAAAGGCAAAAAAGCTTTATTTTTTCCTTTCACGACATTTTTTATCATAAATGCACCATAAAAACAAGCAGAATAAAAAAAAAAAACCCCATTTGGCCACACCCGAAATGGAAGGTAGATTTCACTGAATGAAATTCTTGATAGAATGACGTACATAAATCAGTTGTACTACTCATTGCCTGAAAATGGTTCAGTTGCACTCTTAACTTTGATAAAATAACTAAAAATTGTCAAAATGTTAATGTTATATACATCAAATTAAAGGTAATTTCATGAGCTATTACATGAATTTTTCAAAAATTAGTTATCTCTGTTCAATCAAAAGTTATACATCAATGAAGTGGCCAAAAACGAGATTTTCACTATTTAGAAAATTTTTAATGGGCGCCATTTCTAAACTCATTGACAAATTTCGCTCATTTTAGGGCTCGTGCAAGCTAATTGTCCAAGGAATCTAAATATACTAAATTTCGTTAGGATCTGTTAAGAATTCTCGATAAAATAACATTCATAAGTCGGTTGTACTACACATTGCCTGAAAATGGTTCAGTTGCACTCTTAACTTTCATAAAATAACTCAAAATGGTCAAAATGTCAATGCTATATACGTCAAATTAATTTTATGAGCTATTACATGAATTTTTCCAAAATAGCTATCTCTGTTCAATCAAAAGTTATACATCAATGAAGTGGCCGAAAACGTGATTTTCACTTTTTTGAAAATTTTAAATGGCCGCCATTTTTAAACTAATTGATCGATTTTGCTCATCTTCGAACTCGTTCAAGGTAATTACCCAAAGAATATGTGTACCGAGTTTCATCTAAATCCGTTGAGAATTGTAGACGCTATCGTGTCCACAAGCCGCGTTATATTACATATATATATATATATATATAAACTTTTGAACCAATGCTAATTTTGAGCTTTACTCGACTACATAAGAGATAAAATGACAAAATTCCGTGTGAATTCCGACACAAGGTCCAATGCAATAGATAGATTTCTACGAAATCTACCTAATAATAAACAATGTTAATTTTTCACCTAGTTAATGGCCAAAAATGGGATTGACCCCACTTGTAAATAATTACCAACTTTTTTTCACCAAGAAAGTCACTGTGAGAAAAATTTTGATTTCTTCAGCTAAGAAAAAAAATTGTTGAAAATTAATTTTATATTACAAAAATGTCCATATTATTCTAAAGAAATGTTTTCTCTCAGTGTAGTTGCTTACTAACTATCGTGAAATGGAAATATTGGTTGTTTTTTGCCTGTATCAAGTAAATTTGAATTATAAAGATCATTCTATTTCTAACATACACAGCTATCAACACTCAAACAACTATAAGCTTGTTCAATTTTTGAACTAGTGGATGTAGTTTCCAAAATATTAGAATTTTCTGAGCTTGATATGGAACTGGACAATTGGCTTCGTATTTGTGATGAATCGAATGCTACTGATGACTCCTTGACTTTGTTAGAATGCTCATCGTGGAAATAATCATTACACGTCGAATTAATATGCTCTTGAGTTCTAATATCATATGGTAATTCCTGCGATAGACGGCTATAGTTTAAAAATGAGTCGGAATACGGTGAAGAAGAATGATGATGGTGATGATAATGGTGGTGAAGATGACTATTGTACTGATGGGTGTGATGATGAGTATGTAAGCGTGCTGGTGGTGTTTTGAAACTATCGTTCGTTCCGAGATACTGATGTAAGTGATGTAAGCTTGATTGCCCATACACTGGGGACAAAGAAAAAACATTATAATTAATTGAAAATCACATATCCATATTTTCTAAATATTTCAAATGCACAGAAAAAGAGTTATTGTGGGCTAAGTAAAAATTTTTCTTCCTAGTTTTTTCATCGTTTCAAAAACAATTTCTGGGTCCGAAAAATTTTAATCTTGGAGGAAGTAAATTTTCTTGTCTCATGAAAATTTTGCGTCTTGCTTAGTGATGTGAAATGACCGTCAATTTTAACTTCGGTCAAATCACGAACAATTGACGAGCATTTGCTCATCAATTGACGTAATATTTTTTTTGTCAGTCACAAATATTTTTGAACAATTTTTTTTGTTTAGTTTGACCAAAATACGGCCAAAACTAAAAAAAAAAACAAACAAAATAATAACGATATTTTCTACGAATTTAGATTTTTCAATCAATAATCATTTATTCATAACCATACTCAATATTTGAGACATTTAAAGAGAAATTTCTTTAAAAATTTTAAATTTTTAGAAAAAAAACTTGTGTGTACTACAAATTAGATGTGAAATGACCATCAAAAAATTTTTGGTGATTTTTTGGTTAAATTATTAATAATTCGTTGCACGGGAGTTGCCATTAAATTTGAAAAATGACTCATGGTAATTTTTCAATTTGGTCAATTGACTTCAAATGACGAGCAATTGACGAGCACGTTCTTTGCCTCGCATTACTAGTCTTGCCTTTTAAAAAACTTTATACTGGATTTTTCAGAGAATCCTAATATAAAATTGAGATGAAATGTATGTGGCATCAAACTATTCGTAACGTGATTGGTTGAATATATCATAAGCATGAAAATATATACAAACTCTATAGTCAAAGCGCGCGCTTGCGCGCGTAAATTCAAATTCTAGTCCTAATATAAAATTGAGATGAAATGTATGTGGCATCAAACTATTCGTAACGTGATTGGTTGAATATATCATAAGCATGAAAATATAGCAAACTCTATAGTCAAGGCGCGCGCTTGCGCGCGTAAATTTGAATTCCAGTCATACAAAAATTTTAATAAATTGGTGTTGTTTTTATTAATTTAGTGCCTAAATAATTCTTTTATCTTGGTACAAATAAATTATCTTAGGGCCAGTTTTTCAATCCAGGATAAAATTTTATCCAATTACAAAATATATCTATATATTTCATATATAATAAATATACTGGTAATAACTTATAACTAATGAAAAAATTATCAGTTTCCTTAAGATTGCATTGCTAAGTTGAGTTGCGAGTTACTGTGCCAATTCACCGAAGTGAATGGACATTCTTATTTTGTCGGAGTGGGGAAACGTCTTTACCCTCAAAATAGGATAAAGGCGGAGATAATGTCCACTCTCAAGAAAGTGGGAATAAGATCGTCAAGAGCATGATTTTCTTGTAAAAAAAATTTTTTTCTTAGCTAAAGCAAGTACATTTTTAACTTGAAACAAATTTTTAACTTGAAAGAAGAAACTTTGATTTTGAGTCAAGTAAATATTGTCTTCATTGAAGTCATATTACTTGAATTCAGAAATAAATCATTTTAAAGCAATAAATAAGAAGTTTGACTTAAGTGTGAAAAGTGCATTGGCTTAAGAGAAATTTTCTTCAAACAAGGTTAAAAATGTAAGAAAATTTTTTATTTTGATCAAGTGAATTTCGATCTTTCTTTTATAACTCTAAAATTGTCTTGAAGCAAAAATTTTTTCATTCTGTGTCGGAAGTTCATGATGATAAATGTTTTTAAAAAATCATACTAAATTAAAAGATTGTGCTTACTAGTTGTATTTGAATACATCGCAAGGACAGCATCTCCATACCCTTCTGATGGATGTTTTGTGGAATCCGAAATATTTGCAGTGGTTTCAATTTTATTAATACTAGTTCTGGCTACTGTTCCTGAAGATTCAACGGTTGGATTTGAAACTCCAACACCATAGGCCATGTTAAATAATGCTTCTGGATCACAGACAAATTTATAAACATATCTTTCACCAGCAACTTTTTGCATAATTCCTTTTTCATAATAATATCTTAATGATCTACTAAGTTTATCATAATTCATTGCCGGGCGGTTCTTTTGGATCCCCCATCTTCGCGCTACCTGCAAAAGTTAGAAAAATCGATAAGAATTTTTTTAAGTCTATTTTTGGTCTTTTACTTCAATTATTTGGTACGTGCAAAAATACCAATTGATTTTTTATTTAAGGTTCTGATGAAAATATGTTAGTTTATCATGTTGTATAAGAGTCCTTTTCAAAATCAGCTCAATGAAAAGTTTTTTAGGGTCCATTTCAGATTTTTTTAATATTTAAAGTAAAATAATTAAAACATTTTTGAGCGACTTCTTATTATGGATATGAAAATAATAGAATGACGATAAAATAGATGAAAAAAATATAGAAAATTTAAAGTTTGGATTTTTATGATTACAAAAAAATTATTTAAAAGAAGAAATAAAACCATTCGCTTACTTCTTCCGGTTCAATTAATTTGAATTCCATCCCACGACCAGTCCATGTAATGCACGGAGAATTAGCTGGGTCATCTAACAACGTAACTAAAAATTGCCAAAGCTGTAAGGAACCTCTTCTTTGCTGTTGATATCTACATAGATTTGAATAATTTAAAATTAATTGAAATATTAAATCGAGCTATAAACTCCTTTGAGTTCTACAAATAAAATAAATTTTTCAATTACATACCCAACAGATACATCGGGCCATGATAAAAGTCCTGAAGAAGATGACTTTTTTATATACTCAGAATTCCAAGTAGCTGATATTTTCTTTTGATAAACAGTTTGTCGCTCCCATGATGGAGTCTTTATGTCAGATTGAATTCCCAATTTAGTCCAAGTTGGACTCAATCTATTTCTTGTAGAAACATTGGCATTCGCTGACGATGGCCAGTTATCAGAACGTGAAACGAAGTTTTGTTCTATTGTAGATTGATTGGATTGAGTTGGTGTTAGCCATTGTGATGTTACTGAAGATGTACTTGTTGGTTTGCTTGACGTCGGAGAATCTCGTGGATCTCGTGTGATTAATGAATTATTTGTATATTGTTGTCGTCGCTGGTAAATTAAGTTTCGTGCTAAAAAAAATTAATGATTTAAAATTTTTTAGAGAAATTGACTATTATTTTTTATTATTATATAGGTGACTCATAAATTAGTAATAAAAAAAAATGAAGAAATCAAAAAAATTTCTTAAATTCTTCAATAATTTTTAAGTTTGCATTTAAATGAAGAATTACTATTTTTCTACACCTATCAATATAAGGTAAACTACCCAGTACTTAAACACCACAAAAATGGAACTACATGGAAAGGAAATTTCAAGTACTTGTCCCATTCATTATGGAAATAGTTCCTATAATCGTATAGAAATTTTTCCTATACGGCTATACTGCCGTGCTTAGGAAGAAGGCAGTAACTTCACTTACTGCTTTTCTATGTATCTAATGTTAAATTAACATTGGTTAGATAGAAAAGCAGTAAGTGAAGTTACTGCCTTCTTCCTAAGCACGGCAGTATAGATGTGGTTTCCATAGTAGTATAAGAATGGCTTAAATCATAGTATAAGAAAAATTCCTATAGTAATATGAGAATAGTTCCCATAATAGTAAGGGAATAGTTTCTATATGATAGTATTGGAATGATTCCTATGGTAGTATGGAAACTATTCCCATATTATTATTATTATTATTATTATTATTATTATTATTATTATTATTATTATTATAGAAACCATTCCGATAACAGTATAGGCAGAATTACTGTATCATTATAGGAACTATTCCCATAATAGTATAGTAATGATTTCCATACTTCTTAAAAAATATTTATATACAAAATTTTCGTTATACTATTATGGGAACACTTGCTAAATAATGATAGTAATATTTCCAATATTATTATCAGAATAATATTCATGTTATGGAAATGGTTTCCATACGATTATGGGAATGATTCTCATAATTTATAGCAAGTCCTTCCGGGTGAAAAAAACTATATATAATTTTATGCAATTATGTATAATAATGCTTGAAATTTTTATATAATTATATAGAATTATGTATCATTCTATATAATTATACAAAAAGTACAAACATTATTGTATACAATTATATGAAATTTTATATGATTACACTTTATTTGTAGATTATAAAAGTTGGAAAAATAAATAAATAATAAAAAGTACTTTCAGTACTGTTACATTTTTTATTACTTTAGGTAAGCAATCTGATGTTTAATGATATTGAAATCAACAAACATCTGATTGAAATCATTTATTTTCTATCGTTTCTATTCATTGAAATCATTTATTTTCTCAAAAAATAAATAACTAAAAAAGAAACATTTAAAACTTTTAAATAAAATTGCAAAGTTTATTGATTTTCAAAAAGTCGATTTTGTTAATTCTTTACGGGAACTTATTTGTAAGAAAAAAAAAATTCGAAAAAATTTCGGATTTCTGCTTATTTTAGTATCATGATGATTTTTTTTTAGATTAATTTTATTGATACAACCTCCGTATATGAAGCACTGCACACCAAATCAAACGGTTGAAAAAATTTTTATTTTGAATTTGTTCAAATTTTTAACATTTTTTAGTACCTCCATCAAAAGACTCAGCTTGGTAAGTTTTGAAACTTTTCTGATTACCTATTAAAAAGATATCGAATTTAATAAAAATAAAAAAAAAAAAAAAAAAAAAACTGTATAAGTCGAATACGTAATGTTTATCATTGTAAATAAATAAAAAATTAAGTACTAAATATGAGTCATAAGGTAATAAATGTAAGTAATAGCAGCTGTCAAGGTTTTTCGATAATAATTTATTGGTTAATAAAAACATATCATTTAAATGCGTATTTATTTAATAACTCAAAAATAAACTCGATTTACAACAATGCTAACAAATAATAAATTTTAAATAAAATAAATTTTCTGCCCTCCGGCCGGAAAGTGGCAACTTTCTGGCCGCTGCGCTAAACAAAGTTGCCACATTCCGGCTACGTCGAGCAGAAAAATAGTATACACACCTTGGCCAGTAAAAAGTAAAGCCTCAGACCACATGTTTGTCAACCTCGGCTTCGCCTCGGCCAACAATTACATGTGGTCTGAGACTTTTCTTATTTTACTGGCCTAGGTATGTAATATACTATTTTTTAATTTTCAATTATGGAAATGTTTTATACATTGTATAATTTATTGACAATGGAATAAAGGTCCATGGAAAACTTTTGAATTTTCTGAAGTCAGCTCTATTTCACCAGAGCAGGTTGATATTCCATTTATTCCATTAACTTTAAGTTTGAGATAAAAAACTTTATTATAAATAACTTCTGAAGCTTCTAAGAAAAGGTGATAAGCTCTCTCAATCTCCTGTACAGTAATAAGAGATGTATTATTTGGAAATTGATTGTTTATCATTACTTGAGCAGCTTCCCGAGCTTCATTGATTAATGTATTGTCGTTGACCTTATTCATTTTCCAGCACTTTATTATGTTCCGGTTGAACACATGAATTGCGCATAGTTTTAATGACCCCGCCATATTTTGCTTGTAACATGCCTCTTTAGAATTGGGATCTATGCGTTTATTATTTAGACAATTCGTCTCACCAAACACCGCCTTGACGAAATAATATAAATGTGAATATACATGACCAAGTTTTTGAGTAGAATAACTCAGAGAATCACTGTCTACAACAGCTTCCAAAATCGGTTGATAATCAAAATATCTGCTGGCTATTGTCGGAAGAGCTCTTTTTATTATCTGCGTGGGATTTGAAATAGGATTGCCTGGCCAGAGTAGTGGATATAAAAATTTCCAATCGTCTATTTGAGATGAATTTGTTAAATCCAAAATAATTCCTTCAACTCGAGTAGAAGTTATAATAAATGTCTTTAACATTAAACACATGAAAACTTTTGATAACTCCATAGTTTATGATTTCTTGGATTGTTAACTAGTTGACAACTTGAGAACTATTAATGCTCGAGTTGGCGACATCATCGATTTATATTGCTGTTAATAGACACGCTCTTCCTCACAATTGGCTTAAAGGTAATAATTACTCGATTCCATAAACAAAGGATGAGTCAACGAGTATTTTTTCACTGTTGAATTTTTAGCACGTAGTTATTTTTTTTTTTTTGATAACTTTTTAAATTTTATGAAAAACTTTAAGCTAATTGAATGGTACAATTATTATTTTTACTGAAATGAAGGACCGAATTATTGATCGTAGTACAGTTTCTAATTTTCTCAACTTTATTTTGCATTAAAGTTTGAAAATACAGTTGAGTTTGTATGTAATGTAAATTTAAAGAAAAATAAAAGAAAAATTTTATCTAAATTGGATTTAAAATACTATTTGAACTGATTCAGACCGGTAGATTTTGAGAAATCTCAAAAATAGAGTTATTAAAAAAATAATTTTTTTGGAATAACTTTTAAACTCATCTGAATAATAATTCTAAAACCTGATCTACTCTTAAACATGAAAAACAACGTCGGTTGCTGTAAACTGCATCGAAATCGGTTGATGCGTCAAAGAGAAATCGATGACAAAAAATAAAAATAAAAGAGTTTTTTTCACATAACTTTTGAATTTATAGTTTAATCTATTTTTTTTTGTAATAAATTTTTTTATTGGTTCTAAAATATCCCGTCTATTGCCGTCAATCATGATGAAATTGTTTGATCTTTTTAAAAGTTATCATTGTCAAAAAATTTAAGTTTTTTTTTAATAACTTCGTAATTTCTTCTCGGATCGTTTTTGATGAGATAATTTAACTATTAGAGCGTAAAAACTGCGTCGAAGACTGTCTATCTCGTCAAAATTGAATGATTTGTTCGTGAGATATAATAATTGATTTTAAAAAACAAAAAAGGCGTGATTTTCAAGATAATTTTTTAATTCTTCATCAGATCGAATTTCATTCTGAGAATTTTAGTAAAGTTCTCTCAACCACGCTAATTGCCACCAAGCATATCAAAATCGATTGATTTGCCCAAAAGTTATTGCAGTTTAAATATATTCAAAAAAATATTTTATTGAATACAAATGAGCTCGAGAAGCTTTAAAGCGCTTTTACTTTCTTCGCTCGGCCGGATAACTAACTCGGTCTTGCTAAGAATGCGCCCATAGCCTCATACTCGTGACGTCACTTCAAGCCGTCAGAATCCCTACCTTTGCGCATGTGTATCGAAAATAACTATTTTTTCTTCTTAATATTTTTTTTAACTTATCCAAGGGTCATACGATAGAAGCATCTATAATAATTAAGAATCTGTCTGTTTTTTATTTTTCAGATCATCAGAAGGGTTGGAATCATGCACGCCAGGACACCCTCTTTTTTTGGACCCCCCACTTTGACTGCTCATAACTTTGTCAATTTTAATTTTTTTCTTTTGATTAATTTTTTTATGTAATAATAAAACATCAATAAACAAATGATAAAAAAATTGATGGTAAAAATGTTCTTTGTTTCCTTTGTACAGCGCTTCAAAAATCGGGCGAAATCCCTCTACACTAGAATACCCCCTTTAGTTGTGAAAATATTCCCCCCCCCCAAAAAAAAAAACAAACAAAACAGAAAATGAATTATGGATATCTATTCTTCAGATCCTTAATCATTATCATTGATTCATAAATAAATTTCGTAAAACTTGGTTTTTCCAGGATTTTTAAATTTTCCGGGCAAGTTTTAAAATTATTTTTATTAATAAAAACCTAATTTAGACTTGTTCGAACATATTAAAAAAACATCCTAATCGGTCCAGCCATTATCAAGTTATGCGGTAACCAACGAACAGCATTTCATTTTTATTATACTAGACATTATTATACTAGACATAACATGTTCGCTTCGCTCGCCTTCATTCTTTCAAAAATCCCGCCACTATCTCAGTCGACCAATCAACAACCGAATAAAATAGTCACAGAAGTGACTTAAAACGATACGAAATCCGGCCATCAACTTTTTAGAGGAGGATAGATTCTATCATCCAACTATATCTCCCAATTTTCAAAGTTATATCCCGCATGGAAAAATATATATGCGAAAAATATATGCAAATAT